GGTCAGGTCTATAATATGATGTGTATGGTTATATAGGGGCCTATGTCCTGGTCAGGTCTATAATATGATGTGTATGATTATATAGGGGCCTTTGTCCTGGTCAGGTCTATAATATAATGTGTATGGTTGTATAGGGGCCTTTGTCCTGGTCAGTTCTATAATATGATGTGTATGGTTATATAGGGGCCTATGTCCAGGTCAGGTCTATAATATGATGTGTATGGTTATATAGGGGCCTATGTCCTGATCAGGTCTATAATATGATGTGTATGGTTATATAGGGGCCTTTGTCCTGGTCAGGTCTATAATATGATGTGTATGGTTATATAGGGGCCTATGTCCTAGTCAGGTCTATAATATGATGTGTATGGTTATATAGGGACATATGTCCTGGTCAGGTTTATAATATGATGTATATGGTTATATAGGGGCCTATGTCCTGGTCAGGTCTACAATATGATGTGTATGGTTATATAGGGACATATTTCCTGGTCAGGTTTATAATATGATGTATATGGTTATATAGGGGCCTATGTCCTAGTCAGGTCTATAATATGATGTGTATGGTTATATAGGGGCATATGTCCTGGTGATTTTTGTACGAATGAAGGTTTTCGTGTTTGCAATATGATGCCACTAATCTTCTACAAAATTACTTTATATTTACTATAAGAAAATTAAGGCTGTATTCTGCGGGATATTTGCCTTGACTTACAATGATCAGAAGATAATGAGCTGTTTTCATCTTAAACAGTGAAGACCAGTAATTATTTCTTTACCTGCAGTTTTAGGAGTCGTTTGATTCGTTGAGCACCAGGTAGAGAGAAGACGCTGCCTTTGTTATCACAGATAATGCCAGACGACTCCTGCTTGACCTCTGAGTCACTCTGGGACAATTTTCTCTGACCATCACTGTTCTGGGGCGACAGATTAGGTTTTGTGCTGGTATTTAATTCCATCAGTGACCGGCGTCGTTTGTTAGGTCTTTCCTCGGCTTCACTCTCCGACGGACTTTCAGTAATGTCTATTTCAATCTTCTCTATCCTAGGTATTGCACTCTTCTTTTGGTTCTGTGCAGCGATGGCTGCTTTTAGCGCAGCCGCAGTCTCAGCCTCAGCCTTCCTTGCTTGGGCCAGTTTCAGTATCTGTATTTTCTTGGCATATTCCTCTGCTAGTCGTTGTAACCTTTCCTTTTCTTCACTCTCCACAGGTATGTTCTTGTTTTCTTTACCCTTCAAAGTTTTCTTAGCTGCTTTCTGTAACAAAAACGAAAAAAGAAATTGGAAATGAAAATATTTTGCTTGATTTAACCAAATATTTGTCTCACATTTGGATTCAACAAATTTAACTAACATTCGTGTTCATGAACTGTTACATGAATTTACCTTATAATAGTGTAAAATATCTCCATTTATAAATCATCATATATAATAGTGGACAATATAACCTTTGCATGTCTTTTTTGTTGAATGAGAAATATTTTATGTCTTATGCCCAACTTATGCATAGTTGAATATATTTAATATAATAATAATATACAATATTTGATATAGCACCCTATCTAGCTAACATAAGCCATTCTAAAGCGCTTTACAGTACAATTAGCATATACATTAATCAATACAATTTTGAGGAATTCGCAGGAGCTGCCCTGTCAGGTGCTAACTACTATTCCTATCCCACCTGGCTTATATCTCCATATGTGTGTATGCCTGCATGTGTGCTGGAGATATGTGTTCTGTTTGTAGTGGGGCCGTGCTTCCAATGGCATGATTTATAGTGCCACCTCACTATAATGCTACAGCACAGATACCGCAACATCCACCCCAGACCAATGTATACTCCACCAGGGTTGTTGGAGTTGTGTGGACAGGAGAAAAACACTTTCTCTGTATATCCATGCATACAACGACTTCGGGAATCGAACACCGGACGCCTTTGTGGAAGGCCGGAGTGTTAACCACTCGACTAATCTGCCCGTATTCTTATTATACACATAAGGGCTATTCCATTAAAACATACCCCTACCCCCGGACGGCAAGATATAGAACTTCTGTGCATGGTTGGTGCGAGCAAAAGAAAGCTTCTGTACCACATGCTGATCTGGAGAAAATCACTTCTGTTCATGGTCTATTATTATCCTTCATTTTAAATAACATCTCTGGCATTGTTGCAGTACTTTAAACCTACAGCTAATCTGGGCAGATAGCATGTGTTTGTCTTTTTTTATTTCATGTTCTGTCTTTTTTCTTATTTCAATGTCGGGAAACGCTCACTTCATGATCGGGACTGTCTCAAATGGTTAAGGGGAGATAACACTTACATTACATACAGGGCTTTCAAAAGAGGATGGCGGACTGGAAAGCTTGGAGTGTTGAACAGGTCTGCGGCTTAGCCAGCTGCAGACCCGCATACCTGTTCCACACGGCAAGCTTTTCAGTTGAATGGGTTAGGGACCGTAACAGGGAAATTTACTTGAATATAAGAGATTTAACATTCAAAAATCGTCTCGTTCTGCAATAAACTGACGTATTAATCACGATGAAACTGACTGAGTATATGATTACCCAAATGTCAATGACCACGTGTCGGTCAACTTTTCCCCTTATAGGTAGTGCGCAATTGATGATATATGGAAATGTAGGTGTTTGTGGCCTCTGATTTGGACTCAGTTTACAGATGAAAAGTCATCATTTTATAAAATGGTGAAAGTCAGGTGCATGTAAAGCTTTTCGGTAATTTTAAAACAAAACACGATCAGAGTTATAATACATCATTTGGAATCGACATTGATGCAATATATATATATACATAATTTGGATGATGCAACAAGACTTGAATATACGAATTAACAGAAATATATTGCTTCTATGGGTGGTCCTAAAATCCAGAAATATAGTTCTATGCCATATACCTCCTGGAAAACCCCCACAAATCACCAACAAATGATTTTATTAACCCTTCTATAACTGTACCTCATTGACCAGAGTGACGGAGATGTTGTCCACCTTGTTTTTCTCCGAGGCCTTCACAGCCACTACAGTGCGGGGTTTATACGAGGCCCCGAACACTGTCTGTCCAATGTGTAACACCTTCTGTTCCAGCTGCTTAAAGGCCTCCTGCTTCTTATAGATATTGGCTCTGAACGTACGCGCCTGTAAAAAACTCAGTATTAGGATCAAGAATGAGCCACGATATTTCAAACAACAACACTGCTGGTGTAAATATGAATACATTAGTCTTTTGCACAAACCATTATTATCTATATGAGAGAATAACTAGGAACTACAATTAATCAATCAAACAATAATGTATTAAATTTATAAGATCATTGGTTCAACATCAGCAATATTTAAAGAAGCAATTTAAAAAGGTTTTAATTGAGATTTTAAGGAAGACACAGATTGCAGTTTTCAGAATACTTTACAGAGATGTTCCTCTGTGTTCAGAATACTTGATAGAGATGTTCCTCTGTGTTCAGAATACTTGATAGAGAGGTTCCTCTGTGTTCAGAATACTTGATAGAGATGTTCCCCTGTGTTCAGAATACTTTATAGAGATGTTCCTCTGTTTTCAGAATACATTATAGAGATGTTCCTCTGTGTTCAGAATACTTTATAAGAGATGTTCCTCTGTGTTCAGACTACTTTATAGCGATGTTCCTCTGTGTTCAGAATACTTTATAGAGATATTCCTCTGTGTTCAGAATACTTTATAGAGCTATTCCTCTGTGTTCAGAATACTTTATAGAGATGTTTCTCTGTGTTCAGAATACTTTATAGAGATGTTCCTCTGTTTTCAGAATACATTATAGAGATGTTCCTCTGTGTTCAGAATACTTGATAGAGAGGTTCCTCTGTGTTCAGAATACTTGATAGAGATGTTCCCCTGTGTTCAGAATACTTTATAGAGATGGTCCTCTGTGTTCAGACTACTTTATAGAGATGTTCCTCTGAGTTCAGACTACTTTATAAGAGATGTTCCTCTGTGTTCAGACTACTTGATAGAGATGTTCCTCTGTGTTCAGAATACTTGATAGAGAGGTTCCTCTGTGTTCAGAATACTTGATAGAGATGTTGCTCTGTGTTCAGAATACTTGATAGAGATGTTCCCCTGTGTTCAGAATACTTTATAGAGATGGTCCTCTGTGTTCAGACTACTTTATAGAGATGTTTCTCTGTGTTCAGAATACTTTATAGAGATGTTCCTCTGTTTTCAGAATACATTATAGAGATGTTCCTCTGTGTTCAGAATACTTTATTGAGATGTTCCTCTGTGTTCAGAATACTTTATAGAGATATTCCTCTGTGTTCAGAATACTTTATAGAGATGTTCCCCTGTGTTCAGAATACTTTATAGAGATGGTCCTCTGTGTTCAGACTACTTTATAGAGATGTTTCTCTGTGTTCAGAATACTTTATAGAGATGTTCCCCTGTGTTCAGAATACTTTATAGAGATGTTCCCCTGTGTTCAGAATACTTTATAGAGATGGTCCTCTGTGTTCAGACTACTTTATAGAGATGTTCCTCTGTGTTCAGATTACTTTATAGAGACGTTCCTCTGTGTTCAGAATACTTTATAGAGATGTTCATCTGTGTTAAGACTACTTTATAGAGATGTTCCTCTGTGTTCAGATTACTTTATAGAGACGTTCCTCTGTGTTCAGAATACTTTATAGAGATGTTCATCTGTGTTCAGACTACTTTATAGAGATGTTCCTCTGTGTTCAGAATACATTATAGAGATGTTCCTCTGTGTTCAGAATACTTTATTGAGATGTTCCTCTGTGTTCAGAATACTTTATAGGAGATGTTCCTCTGTGTTCAGACTACTTTATAGAGATATTCCTCTGTGTTCAGACTACTTTATAAGAGATGTTCCTCTGTGTTCAGACTACTTGATAGAGATGTTCCTCTGTGTTCAGAATACTTTATAAGAGATGTTCCTCTGTGTTCAGAATACTTGATAGAGAGGTTCCTCTGTGTTCAGAATACTTGATAGAGATGTTGCTCTGTGTTCAGAATACTTGATAGAGATGTTCCCCTGTGTTCAGAATACTTTATAGAGATGGTCCTCTGTGTTCAGACTACTTTATAGAGATGTTTCTCTGTGTTCAGAATACTTTATAGAGATGTTCCTCTGTGTGCAGAATACTTTATAGAGACATTCCTCTGTGTTCAGAATACTTTATCGAGATGTTCCTCTGTGTTCAGACTACTTTATAGCGATGTTCCTCTGTGTTCAGAATACTTTATAGAGACATTCCTCTGTGTTCAGAATACTTTATCGAGATGTTCCTCTGTGTACAGAATACTTTATAGAGATTTTCCTCTGTGTTCAGAATACTATATAGAGATGTTCCTCTGTGTTCAGAATACTTTATTGAGATGTTCCTCTGTGTTCAGAATACTTTATAGAGATGTTTCTCTGTGTTCAGAATACTTTATAGAGATGTTCCTCTGTGTGCAGAATACTTTATAGAGACATTCCTCTGTGTTCAGAATACTTTATCGAGATGTTCCTCTGTGTTCAGGCTACTTTATAGAGATGTTCCTCTGTGTTCAGAATCCTTTATAAGAGATGTTCCTCTGTGTTCAGACTACTTTATAAGAGATGTTCCTCTGTGTTCAGAATACTTTATAGAGATGTTCCCCTGTGTTCAGAATACTTTATAGAGATGTTCCTCTGTGTTCAGAATACTTTATAGAGACATTCCTCTGTGTTCAGAATACTTTATCGAGATGTTCCTCTGTGTTCCGAATACTTTATAGAGATGTTCATCTGTGTTCAGACTACTATATAAGAGATGTTCCTCTCTGCTCAGAATACTTTATAGAGAAGTTCCTCTGTGTTCAGAATACTTTTGAGAGATGTTCCTCTGTGTTCAGAATACTTTATAGAGACGTTCCTCTGTGTTCAGACTACTTTATCGAGATGTTCCTCTGTGTTCAGACTACTTTATAAGAGATGTTCCTCTGTGTTCAGACTACTTGATAGAGATGTTCCTCTGTGTTCAGAATACTTTTTAGAGATGTTCCTCTGTGTTCAGAATACTTTATCGAGACGTTCCTCTGTGTTCAGAATACTTTATAGAGATGTTCCTCTGTGTTCAGAATACTTTATCGAGATGTTCGTCTGTGATGGTGATCACTGGACATGTAATTCACTTGTTATACCCCAATACTCACTACCCAGTGGACTAGTAAATGTCAGTGCTTCATTAGGGCAATGACTAGAACAGATAGTCCACACAGGGCAACATCTCAAAAGCATTCTGAAAACTGCAATTTTTATTTTTAAATTCACTTGAAATTTTTGAACTTGCACATCCAAATTAAATATGATCCGATACTTATAAAGTGCACCTGAAACCTTGATCATTTTAGTTTAAAGTTTGATAAGGAAATCATTTATTTTTACTCTCTCATGAAGAAAATGATCTCACACACTTATAGCAAAGACACATTGAAACTAGAAAATAAAAGTCTGCCGTTTACAGAAAATGTGAACTAATATGTTTTTATCATCACTTACATGTTTACGGACTTTCTCAAACTGTTCCCTATTAGCACCAGCCACTTTCTCAGCAGCCACAAGTTGTTCCTTGAGTTTGAGGACATTGTCTTGGGCGAGTTTGGTATTCTTGTGGTACTTTGAAGCCTTACTTAGCAACCCCTTGAAAATAGCCTGCTCCTGTAGAATGCTGATCCTGCAAAGGCAAACACAATTCATATCTATAAATAGTGAACAGCACATCAATTGAAAATTAATTGGGCACTCTACAAATCGTTTATAATCTTATTGTAACTAGTGTAAAATCTCAGACAGTCATCACAACCACCCTTTGTCAACTTAGTTATACAGGCTTCTAGATGTTACAGCTCTGATAATCCTGGTAAATCATCAATAAATAGTGTTGACAAGGTCGGTTAACCACGAAACAAAGCCTCTAAGCACCTCTGTTTATTCATCTCCTCTTCATATTTGCGGATTTCCATTTCTTCAGTATCAGCGTGTTTTGCAGCACTCTCATTGTTCTGATTACTCTAAAACAGAAAGGTTTGTATGCTGAACTGTGTCACTAGAATCACATAATTAATCTATAGTACATCAGGCCTGGGTTTAAACTACTACTGTATACTGGGAAACTTTTCCCCAGTCTTTCAACCTATGCCAATAAAATCCATTTTTTACCAACTGTTATTTCACCCTTCACATTTGATTATTATGTTTATCATATCACTTACAACTGTTTAACCATGATAATATATTAGCCCTCACTGCGGTTAGGGCAAAGGCAAAAATTAAACTGCAGTGAAATTTCCCTGAAACTACGCTGGTATACAGGAGTATATTTAAAAAGTTGTCTTCTAGCAGGCTCTCAACCATATACACTCAACTCCAGACAGTAATGTCTTATTGAGGTACAAATCAAGCCCCTTTAGCAAGTCCTGAGCCATGTTATCTAGACATCCTGAACCAAGCCCTCTTAGCAGGCCATGGACCATGTATAAATAACTTACATCAAGACTTCCAAGCTAGTTGAATGCCCTCTCAGCAGGTCCTGAACCATGCATGCATGACTTACTTAAAGATGTTCTAGCTAGTTCAATGAATAATGCCCTGGACTATGTATAAATGACTTGCATCAAGACTTCCAAGCTAGCTGAATGAATAATGCCTTATCAGCAGGTCCTGAACCATGTATACATGACTTAAATCAAGATTTTCAAGCTAGTTGAATGAATCATGCCCTCTGTGCAGGCCCTGGACAATGTTTAAATAACTTGCATCAAGACTTTCAAGCTAGTTGAATGAATAATGCCTCATCAGCAGGCCCTGATTCATGTATACACGACTTACGTACACTTTCTAGCTAATTAAATGAATCATGCCCTCTCAGCAGGCCCTGAATTATGTATACATGACTTACATCTACAGACATCCTAGCCTCATTAAGGAATGAATCCAGTCCCCCTAGTAGGCCCTGTACCCCCCTAACAGGGGTGGGGACGTCCTCCTCCTCATCAGTGGAATCCTCATTTAAGTTAATGACCACAGGAGCTTGTATAGGAACCTGATGGATAAATGTTATTATCATGTAGTCATCGAGGCAGCATTATCAATTTCTTTTTTAAACTGAACTTTTATAATTGTTTAGAAATTGATTTTAAAGATATTAAACATTGCTGAACAGATTATAGTAGAACCTTGTTAATCTAGAATGATATATCTCAAACCTTGTTTTCTGGTCTGTTAAGATCAGCTGATTATTCCTGTTCTATTGAACTGAAAAGCTCATCATTACATGTAAGCAGCGTCCAGAGTATTAAGATGATACTCCACAGTACTGAAACATTACACAAATTAATGCATGCTCCTAACCATATATCTATCACAAACAAGACTATTTCAAATTGTTCAGTTTCTGTTGTCAAGGAGTTTTACTGAAAAAATAAAGACATGTCTTTATTTACCTGAGCCATCGTTACCAATTCAGGAAGTTTCTTTCTTCTTTTTGCCATAACTATTAATTTGTTGAGTTGTATGTTGTGTACAGAGGCTGATTTGGGGAGAGGAGCAGGAGATATACTACGCGAGGACACAGGAGATACTTCCTCCGATTTTATCTAAAAATTCAAGACATCAAAATTAAATACACAATATTAAGATTAATCAATGATAGATATCTGATATAACTAGCAGTATGACATTTAATTAGGACACTGCTTGCTACATCACAGTATTTGTATTTCCTTTGTACAGCTCTAAGATAAATCCACCAACCAAAAATGTTATTATATAAACCAATAACCGCAAGAGGTATTGCATGCAAAACAGAACGAATGGAAGAAACCATCTAAAAAGATTAAGTATGACAGTTTAAAAAGAATCATGAATTGAAGAAATCATTGAAAAAGATTAAATTAATCAGTTAAAATTTCATGAATCGAAGAAACCAACAAAAAAGATTATTTTGAATGCAAATATATAAAGAATGAAACGCAATCTTTTCCTTTTTATAATGGAAATATGCAACACAGTTCTGTTCCTAAATATTACTTCAGGCACTCTCAAAGAATAGGAACGGAACTGTGTTACGTACCATCATAAATGTTGAAAACATACATTTTAATTCCTAATTGTTCTACAATATTTTGGCCGTCATCAGACACACAATAACTGTACTAATGGAGATGAACCATCTAGAGATAGAGGGACATGTATTGATTAGGTTTAACACACAGTACCTCAGTTAACAAGACAATTACTCAGGTAAGCACTCAGCTACTCAACATACCTCCTCTTTCACTTTGTCTCTCTCCTTTTGTTCCTTCCTTTTGACTGCCATCGACCTCAACAGCTCAGCCCGCAACATGGCAGCTTCATCTCCAAAGACTTCCTCGTCTTCATCTTCTGGCATGTGTTTTGGGGGAGGGGGAGGAGCCATATCAGGAGGGGGTTCTAGTGGGNCAGGATCAGAGTTGGGGTAAGGCATCAACGTAGGATAGCCTACCGCTAAATCCCAGATGTTTTCTGTGTCTAGCAACAGGTTACTTTGCATGTCCATGGGTTGTGTCTGTCGACAAAAATACACCAAAATGTATTAAAGATATTATGCTTCAAAATTTAGAATCTGTTATCACTTTCACCTCAAGCTAAGTAATTTTCTCATGTAATATTATGTTAATGGAATATTCAATGACTCTGAGCATAACTTGGAGTGGACATATAGTGGTAGTGACATATCTGCAGCTGATTGAGCATTGACTACACCAGATATAAGCCTGCTACAAGTTCTGTGACTAGTGGTACATAGTAGCATTAATTCTTTTTATGAAACTACTTTTCAAATTTTCCAAAGCCACAACTATTATTATTATTCAAATTGTCTCCCGTACAAAAAAAAAAGATGAAATATATTGCTAAGTTTAGTTTATTTTATCACATAATAATCTTTGTCATATTGGGTTTTTTCTTCAGATTTTTTTTTTTTTTTTTTAAAAAANACAATCTTTGTTGGGGTTTTTTCTTCAGAAAATTAAAAATAATAATTTTAAACAATTAGATTACATCATTTTCACAAAAAGATATGCTCACATTCTACAATAAAACTGACACAGAGAAAATGTCTGGGTCTTCCTGTTATGATGCCCAATCGTCCTAGTGACAAGTCCAATTTACTGGCCTTCATAGTCCACCAACACTAGAGGTTATAGCCCCCATGATTCTGAAGTCCACCAACACTAGAGGTTATAGCCCCCATGATTCTGAAGTCCACCAACACTAGAGGTTATAGCCCCCATGATTGATTCTGAAGTCCACCAACACTAGAGGTTATAGCCCCCATGATTCTGAAGTCCACCAACACTAGAGGTTATAGCCCCCATGATTGATTCTGAAGTCCACCAACACTAGAGGTTATAGCCCCCATGATTCTGAAGTCCACCAACACTAGAGGTTATAGCCCCCATGATT